GAAAATACATCCTGCATATCATATATTTACATTACAATTCATAACAGTAGCAAAATTAGTTATGAAGTAGCAACAAAAATAATTTTATGGTTGGGGGTCACCACAACATGAGGAACTGTATTAAAGGGTCGCGGCATTAGGAAGGTTGAGAACCACTGTCATGATGAAAACACTAAAGCTCTTAGCGGTAAAGAATTTGTTTTGTTTTTGCCCTTTTTTCCCCCCTCTCTAGAACTATTCTGGAAAATAGTTTTCTAGAAAATAGTCCTTGCATCTCCTGCCCATCCGGAGAACAAAATTCCCTTGGAGGAAGGGGATGGGTGATGGTGTAGAGCCCCCATTAAGGAGCTCATTTTCAAGAAACTCCCTATTTTCAGTCCCATCCTGTGCTCTGGGGAAATTCTTAAGATAGAAATTTATGGGGAGGGGATGCGATCAGCATACAAAATTATATATACAGTATATGCTTTCTCATGATTTCAGGCAACTAATTCGCAGTTCAGGAACTCCCTAGGAACTCAGATGAAGACCCCTGCCTTAGACATTCAACATTATTGGGATTGTAAACATTGCCAACTTCAGAATCTCTCTGTAATAAAGAGAGAAATGAAACATGAGCCATTTGACATTTGACAAGATATAAACATCATACTAAAATTAACAGTGTGAACATTATGCTAAGTGAAATAAGCCACTCAGAGAAAGTACCATATGATTTCACTCATATGTGGAATTTAATGAACAAACTGAACTATCAAGCAAAATAGAGACAGACTCATAGAGAGCAGGCAGACAGCTCTGGGTGTGTGTGGAGGGATTGAGCAAAAAGAAAAAAAGAGAGAGAACTACTGGTCATGGACAATATGTGGTGATTGGGGGTGGGTAGAGGTGGAAGAGGGAATAGAGTCAATAAATGGTGATGGAAAAAATAACAGTGCTTGATTAAATATGTAATAACTCCTTCAGATAATCATCCAACTATACCATAATTCAGTGAAGGAGAGATGTCAAACAGTTCTCTTTCATTTCTTTCCTACTCATTCTACTTTTTCCTGGCCTTTTCTCTCTCACCCTCTCCGGCTCCTTCCTCCCCCTTTTCCCCCGTTCACTTCTCTTCACTGTTTCTTCCTCCACTCCCACCCTACCCCGCTAAAAAACAAAACAGAAATCCAGAATTAGACTTTCTCAAGTAAATGTGCTCCACCTGCTGGTTCTTTAAAGAATTTCACAATTTGAGAAACTTGAGACACCACGTATGCAGTGGAAATAATTTTATTACCTACATTTTAGTACCAAAGAAGACCTTGCTAATTTAAAGACTAGGATCATTTCTAAAAATCTGAACTTAATGCCTGATTTATCGAATATATTATATATAGCATGTATTATTTCAATATCTTCTATTTATAGAAGCACAGCTACTGTAATGTTTTAACCCTTATTATAATCACACCCAACTTGCCCCTTTTAATTTCCTTTGTTTCTATGCCATTTATTCAATGAGCTGCTTCTTGGCCTCCTTCCCTCACACCTTTTTCCAAGCTCATTTCTCTGGCCCCAGTTCAGTCTTTGACTCTCCTTTATTAATCTGCATGAACGTCATCAGACAGCTCGCCTTCTACTTCTTCAATTAGCACCTTTACACAAATAATTGGTAAATATATGTTTCTAGACCTAACTTCTCTCATGAGCCTCAGACTCACATCTCTAAATACTGGCAGCTAGCAGGCATATAAAGCTCGTCAAAACTGCTCTCCTCTTTTTTGTTAAGGGCCGTTAACCTGTTCCAATTATCTATTGTTGTTTAGCAAGCTGCCCCAGCTAGGTGACATAAAACAGCAGCCATTGTATTGTGTTCACAGATTCTGTGAGCTGGGATTCTGATTTGGCACAGCAGGGATGGCTTGGTCTCCGCTCCTCATGCTAGAGTGTCTGGGAGAAGACTTGCTGCTCTAGGGAAGATCCCATATCTCCCGCACATTACTGAAAAAGTGGGGGGAGGAGGTAAAATGAAAAGTGGGTCCTTATTGCTTTCTAGAAATACTCACATTATTCATGTTGAATAGTATATAAGATCAAATACACCTGAATTAAAACTTTCAGCATAAGTTATTAAGTTTATATTGATGTAGATATTTAAAATTTTAAATGATTATTTTTTGAGGGTATCTATTGAATTATTTTTTCAGTTGAATTACAACTTGAACTATAAGAAATTGATAAGTGGGGTTGCAGTTTTGCATATTATTTCTACAGTTAGAAGGATGCCAAGCAGCAGGCTTGGAACATTCTAAAAGCTTCTGGCTGCCTCATCAAATCAGACAATGGGAACAACTTTGACCAGACCTGAGCATAAATCACTATTAAGACTTTTGTTTATAAATGCACTAGAGGCCCAGTGCACTTGGAGAGGGGTGGTTCCTCAGCCCGGATTGCGAGAGGGTGCAGGCCAGGCCGCTGGAACCTACTGGTGTATGATCAGGGCCGGGAGGGACATGGGAGGTTGGCCAGCCAGGGAGGGTTCCAGGGCATGTCTGGCCCATCTTGCTCAGTCCTGATCAGCTGGATCCCAGCAGCAAGCTAACCTACCGGTCGGAACGTCTGCCCCTTGGTGGTCAGTGCACGTCATAGCGAGCTGTTGATCAACCTTAGAATAACATTAGCTTATTATGCTTTGATTGGTTGACCGGACGACTGGACACTTAGCATATTAGGCTTTTATTACATAGGATTATTCACTTGCTGTTAATAGAGGCATTCAACTGGTACAATCTTATTTGTAAACTTTAAGTTGATACCTCCCCAACCATTTCATAAGTAAATGAGTCCATGACAGAGCCAATGTTGCAACTGTAAATGACTACAAAGCCAAATGACTGTATTTGTGTCAACTCCCTGAAACTCATTAAACTCACTGAAACCATGATGCATTAGATTATGCCAAGTTTTATGTTCAAACATGTGTTTATGAATGGGAATTAATTGGTGAAGGATTCTTTAAAATACTTATGAATGAGTTAACTTTTAGAATCAAAACAAAGAACATTGATTGGAAGATGGAATGCAATTCAATTATCTTGCTCTGTTAGCCTATGCTAATGTGTACCTGGTATTAAACCACCTGTAGAAATAGGTCTATAAGGTTTTATATTGTATGACCTATGCTCTGGTTTCAGATAACAATACTAAATTCAGGATTTATTCAAGACATTTGTAAATGTTTATGCTTCACCAACTTAATTGTGACAATTTAGGTTTATTATGAAATTGAAATTTTATGTGTTTCTTTGGGAAGGAGCAAATTTAATTAATACTTGTGGCAGGGATAATACAATAGTGGTGGCAGTGAACAGAGGAAGGAAACCAAGAAGCATTTCAAAGGTAGACTCAGCAGGATTTTATTAGGACAATGAGGAAGGGAAAAGAGGCAAGTCGCTTCTGTGGTTTTGGGTGTGAAAGGCTATGTGTTGGTTTCCAAGATTACAACAAATTCCTTGGCACTCCTGCCATTGAGTTAAGTAAGGCCTAGTCCCTTCCCCTTGAATGTGGAGCTGGCTTAGTAACTCACTTAACTAGTGGAATGTGGAGAGTGACACTACCTAACCTCTGGGGTTGGATCAAAAGGCAACCGTGCATACCTACCTCACCTGGTGAAATCTGAGTCTAAGCTGAGCCTAGCCTTCGAGTGGTCTAGCCCGGGCACTGATGTGACTAAAAAACCTGCAGATGATTCCAGCCTTGAATGTAACAACAAAAGACACATGGAAGGATACGTAGTCATAAGAAAACACATTTCTTGATCTTCTAATCTGGTGCTCGTTAGCATGCAGTTTTCTAATTCAAACATTGAGTTCAATGGGTGGGAAGGCGGAGTATACTGATAGAAAGTAGTGATTAGAAATTTGTTCCAAAGCATGTATATCCCCCCACAAAACTTCCATCCCTTCTGACCACTAACAGACATATGAAAGAGCAGCACTCAGGTGCTCAGGCCATTTGGGAGTACACCCTGGGCCTCTATAGATTCAGAATAGACATCAATATAAACTTGAAGGAGAAATTTACTTTGAGTAACAGCAGAATGATCTTTTTCCCCAGTAGTTATGCAATTATGTTTCCCCCGCCCCCCATCTCATCTGTAAGAGAAATACATCAAAGGGTATGGAAAACTGATATACACAGAAAATTTTTGAAATTTTATCTTAGTCCAATGCCCAGACCCCAATAGTCCTCAATACAAGTAAAAATGCTAGCAGATCTATATGATAAAAGGACATTTCATTGTAAAAGGTAAACTGAGGTTTATTTGAACATGCCTATATTAGGGGTCTTGAAATTTAATCAGCATTGTTGAAGTATAAATTATATACACAATAAAATTCTATGATTTTCAGTGTGAAGTTCAGTAAGTTTTGATAAGTGTATACAATTTGGTAACCACTGTCACAATCAATATATGGAACATTTCCATCACCTCAAAATATTCATTTGTTCCCTTTCACAATCCATTTCCCAGCTCCATCCCCAGCCCCAGCCCCTAGCAACCACTGATCTGCTTTCTGTTGTTAGAGTTTTGACTTTTTTTAGTGATGGAGAATTAACAATCATAGGTAATCACTGAATTGTAACACATAGAGATTAAGAAAATTTCAATGTAGTTATACAGTGAGTGCTCTTTGTGTCTGGCTTCTTTCACTTGGCATTATGCTTTTTAAATATTCATCCATGTTGTTGCATTTATCAAGCCATGCCTTCTCATTACTAAGTAGTATTTTAACATGGCTATAACACACTTTCTTTATCCACTCACCTGCTGAAGGGCATTTGTGTTATTTCTATTCCTGGCTATTGTGTATAAAGCTGCTATGAGAATTTGAGTGCAAAAGTCATATTTAGGGAGGCTCAAATATTTAGGTGAGGAACTATGGTATTGGAACTAAGAAATATTTGTCTTCCCTGTGTATATTATCCTGAAAAAAAGTGAAAAATACGGACATTTGTAAACCATATCCCATAATAAAATTTAATCAGTAGATCTGTTGTAAGACAATTAAAGAATTCATACATTTTCCAGCCCTAAAGAGTCACACAGTCACATACATTCAACATGTTCCAAGATAATGCTTAATAGTATGTAGGAAGATAATATTCCTTACAAACTTCAATATATTATGAATTAAAAAAACTTTCATATTATTATGTGAACAAAGAAGCCAATTTTAAGAATTTTGTGAATTTATCTTAAAAGCAAATATGAGTTACAGAATCTCTCATTTAAAGAGAACAATTTCAACTAGTCCATCTTACAAGAAAAAATATTTATAAAATGCCTACATGCTTCTCACACTCATAACATTTATGCTTACTTTAATTAAAGAAGGAAAATGTTTCTCACTAAACGAGAAACATTTCCTATATTCATAACATCCCCAGGATTTTTTTTTTTTTTTTTTTTTTAGTTTAAATTTCCATATAGAACTGTCTGGAATAGAAAATTCTAAATACCAGAATGTATGGTTATAAGCTTTCACATTCAAAAGGGCAGATAACAAATTCTAGTTTTACAAAAATAAAAATTACAACTTAGATGTCCCTTTTTGAAATAACAGTGATGGAGAGTTAACAACCACAGGTAATCACTAAATTGTAACACATGTAGAGATTAAGAAAATTTCAAGTGTTCCTAAATATCTATCATTATATAAAAATGAGCATTTTACAATATTATGATTTCTACAGCAAGATACAGACATACATACATTATGACTAAAGAAACTTCAGGAACGACAAAGCAAAACTTTTACCTTCATTTCAGGTTGCTTTCAAAAATCACTGATAAGCTCAATCTCATTCAATTAATGAAAATAAATTTATCCCATAACAGATTTTTATGGCAGAAACTAAAATTTTAAAGAAATATAAGAAATAAAAATAACATGAGAAGTTCTCCTGATACAAACTACAATATTTAGATTCCCTTAACTCAATACAGAAAACCCAATGTCATATTTTGTAAACTAGTCATATAAAATGATTCTAAAAGTATAAATGAGATTTATGTCAACCAATGGACTTGTGGTCACCTCACCCATCACTGACAGCATCCAACGGAAACCTATGGTGCCAGGGAGGCAGGCTCCAGAATGAAGACTGGGGCTCAAGACATAGGTGACTAACTGCCACAGGGCGGCCACGGTGCCGGCCAGTGGAGTGGGGGCACACGTGGGGCACACGTTCTGTGTCCCCAGACCCCAGGGCGGCTGCTTCACCTCTGTCAATGCACCCAATCCCTTGGATGGCGAAGAACTTCCAGAATCTCTGCTTCTTTGGAGTTCGCTGAGGGTGAATGCATGTACTCCCATCTGTGTACACCCAAAACAGAAGCAAAAAATGTAATAATAAAAAAATAATAAACAACACATATACCTCTTTACTTAAGATAAATGAAAAATAAAGTTCTAAAACAGTAAAAAATGTCTCATACCTCTTTGTCTCCACTGTGCCTAATATGCCTTTCACCCACCAGGCTTTTTAAAAATATTTGTTGCTAAAGAAATAAAATTTCTTAATTCCTGAGCACACTTTGGCTAATATCCCAGAAGGAAAATACACTTTTACTATAAATTAGGGTTTCGTAAAGTTCTAACCTCATACTTACACATTTATTTTGTGTTACTTTCTATTTATGGCAACAATATTGGCATGCCTTTTTAAATAGATTCTCTCTCAGAAAAAACAGGTTGCTTTCAAAAATCACTGATAAGCTCAATAATAATACATTAAAGTAAAAATATTAAAGTAAATAATACATCAGATAATATAAAGGGCCACATAATAAATACTTTAGGCTTTGTGGGGCCACATATGATCTCTTTCATATTTTTTGCTTTTAATAAATCCTTTTAAAAATGTAAAATCCTTTCTTAGCTCAAGGTCTGTACAAAAGCACACCTTTTGGTGGACTTGGACTTATCCTGCAGTCTTAAGTTTACAGACCCCCCAGTATAGATTATAAGAAGCTAAAAGTGACCTGTTGTGTTAATGCTACTCAAGTGAGCAAGGCGGTGATTTCTAATTCACCCACATCTGCTTGGAATATGCATTATACTTAGGGGCCAGAGTGATCAGGCTGACCACCAGAGGCCTAATGGTCATGTTTACTTCTCACTCACTTCTCATCTCTCCAGTGGCAGGAACACCTAACAGTGATGTGCGCGATCTTCTAACCAAGGACAGAAGATCCCTAAAGAATAGTTAGACAAAGACAGCCAATGCCTTTGTGAAGGCATGACAACCACAGAGGGTACTGCACTCACAAGGCTAGATCAGAACAGCAGAATGAGGCAAGGCAGACTGTCAATGGCATCCAGTAGTTCAATTCTTATTCAGACATTTAAATTCATGGAGAAAAAAGATTCTATCTCTTGTAAAACAAACAATGATAACTCTGTTTCCTTTCTGATCTTTTCTATTTCAGTGTTGACACACATCATTCTCATTTTCTTAAAAGCAACAAAGTCGGTTGTAGATCTCTATTAACCTAATAGCACCAATGTGAATATATCCGTCTGTAAAATTCCCCACACAGACTCAATTCACCTCTAAGAAGCTAGCTCACCACAGCAGCATGGAAAACACAGAGAGAATGCTGTGCACCTCATACTTTCAAACAAGCTTAATACTTCCTACGGGAGAGTAAGACATTTCCTCACATGTGCAATCATTTTTAATAAAATTAAGTTTTAGAAGTTGATATGTTTTCCTGGAAAACTACCCAGGCAAGGATAATCCGGCCCTTAGACATCATCACCCCCGTCCTCCTGCTCCCTCTATCCTTTTCCTGCTCTCACACACAAAGCTGTATCACTCACCCTTATACCCCTTAAAATATCCAATTTGATTTTCCTTAATGATTTGACTCTGATTTTTTAATAAAAGCAGCAAAGTCAAAACCAGTGACGCCTCTGGGTAAGAGATCTGTAGTGTTAACGTTCATGTTTGGTGGGGGCTGAGGGCTCGGGGTAGGGGGATAATTATTATGACAAGTTATTCTTACCGAGCAGTCAGAGGTAAAGACATCAAGATGCTTTCGATCCTGGATCCCGGAGTGAAGAGGCCAAACTTTGTACCCCGATCATACAGCAGGTTAAATTCCACATACCTGACATATGGACATCAAACAACATTAAGGGTCTGAGTAAAATCTTTCTTAGCCCATGATGAATACTTAAAGGGGGGACTTCTTCCTGCCCACCCTCCCAATCAGCTGGAACTGACACAAGTCTACAGTCAGTTGAGTTTTCTCCATCTGGACAGGCATAAATAAAAGGGTATTCTATCCAACAAACAATAGGACATAGATTCGGCCCCAACACAGAGCCATTATAAAACAAGGAGGTTGTTTTCTAATAAATAAAAAGAATGAACACAAGGCTGAGAACCTGAAGGCACAACAATCATGAAAAAGAAATGGCATGACTCCTTCTGGGCCTCCCCCACAGTCTGAGACAGTTCAGAGCCAAAGACTTCATTTCACTGCCTATACCTCACAAGTACTAAGACAGGGCAGCAAACCTGTAATTAAAAGTCCAAATGCAGGTAACAGCAATCTATTAACATTTCCTCATATATTCTAGATATTCCCTTTTATTGAAGTAGTTAATAGCATTAACAAGCAGTGATATAAATCAGCCTTCCTGCGGATTCATGGCAATCATAATAAAAGGCAGTGGTTGAGTTGCAGTGCTCAATTTTATTTGCTTAGAAAAATACCCTTAGCATCAATGAAAACTTGGTTTAGTACATTAGTTTTCCATTAACGGCCAGAGTCAGATGTAAACTCTGTCTAGCTTAAAAATATAATTGCCTTTAACATCATGGGATCCTTTGTAAAAGGGTCTCTTCTCCCCAATTTAAAAAAAATAAGTTCTACTACCCAAAATAATTTAGAATGATCCATAAATCTGAAAATGTCAATAAATAGTACCCCTTTCAGATCATTTCTCAACTTGTCAGAAACTACTCTCTTAGTCTAAACTTCCTCAGATATTCCTTTTTGTCCATGTTACTCTCTAATCACACATAGAATAAAATTTCTTCTAGAATCCTGGAGTAGTTCAATTTTTAGAATGTGCTTTTGTGTGTGCAAACTTGCCAAAGGTTCTGAGAAAATTAAAATAAATTATATCCATGAATCCCTTTCTAGTCCTCACCATTTATTATTGATTCCATTTTGCATACTAATAACTATTTAATATCTTATGCCTGTTTCAAAATATAATTTAAGTGAATCTTAACTTCTTTCTAAGAATTTCAGTCTCTCAGCCCTTTTCCACCCCTGCCTGATATTACCTTTCTGAAACATTATTTAAGGAATGACTGGTTCTCTAATTTGTATTGATGTCTTTGTCAAAAACTGTGTAAGGAGCTCCCTAAATGAGCTTTTTGGAGGATCCCCTACTGTTTCCTTTTTTGAGTGAATGATGTCCCTATCCCTACATTAGCCTCTCTGACTCCCACCAGGCTCCACTTACATCTGTTCTTTCTGATTCTTTCTATACATTACTCTTCTCTGAGGTGCCTGGGAACTATGGACTTGAACCATTCCTTCAATCTAACTGATGCCTGAATCTTATCCTGTTTCCCTTTCTCAAAATACAACAAAACAGCAGTAAGTTAAAGATGGTTAGTTTCTGTTCTCCTATGGGGGGGGGGGAGAAGACTCTAAGACTTGAAGTTCAAGGTCTGATGAGAGAATAGTAGTAACTGAGGACAAGAGACTAAATGAGTTTGCAAATAAGACTGTACAGTCCAAAGGGAAGCAGTCACACTGCAGGGGAAACTCATTCTGGGCGGAGGTGGGGAGGAGTGGCCCCTGAAGGAGACAGATAGGGCTGTAAACGCATTGTAAGCAAGTGAAGACGTGCTGATAACTGCAGAAGAGCGAGGGTATCTTTCGCCCCAGAGTTTACCGCCATCTGAAGCCCAGAGATAAGGGTGGTAGAAGGAGGCTCTCCTTGAAGAGGAGTCACCCACCACACCTCAGAAAATTCATCTAACACCCCCCACTTCTAACTCCAAACACATGAGTGTCTGCATATCACATCTTATGCAAAACTAGACCATGTACTTTCCATAGCATTTTGCTTTTTCTTTTTAAATTATCCTCTTAGGTATACCTTCCCCACTGAACTGTGAGTTGTTTTTACAGGTCCATGCTATGCTCACCTTTGTAGTCAGCACAGAGACTAGCCATAGGGGCACATAAGTGTCAAGTGAAAAAAGAAAGAAGTAAAGGTGTATTTGAGAGATCATAGGAAAACAAAAACATGTCCCAAAACAGATGCATTGTGTAAGCAATTTCTAAGAAGAAAAGTTAATCAACTCTCACTTTCCCATGTTTATCAACGGAGACCAGATAGCACAGGTGGTCACAAAGAAGGATAAACACAGACATACATCTTTAGACCTGGAATGTTATTTAAGTTGACCTTTTCTGGGCACTAGTGTTATCTCCTTAAGTGCCCAACACTTCATATGCTTGATACAGAATGAACACAAGTGAGAAAACCCATTTTACAGCCATGGACCAGCAGTATATATGCAATTAAGATGGCAATGAGAAACTCCTGTGAGCCGGAATAGTGGATTCTTTGGAGCTGAGTCACAAGTATACCCCCCACCCCCCAGATGAAGATAATCTCAGGATGATCACCCAAATTCGCTCACCAAGCTCAATGAATGCACAGAGCAGGGTGCTAAGGTGAGTATCATGGTAAGAAACACAAACCTGCCTCAACCACTTCCTTCATGAATGAGAAAGGCTGCAAGTTTTGAAGTCATGATAACCTGGTTCCACATCTGGGATCTTTATTTACCAGCTGTGTAATCTTGGGCAAGGAACTTGCCTTTCTGAGAATTAGTTTTATCATCTATAAAATGATAATGATTACACCAAAGTCACAAGTCTGTGGAGAAAAATAGATGCAAACTGCCTCATATATGGGTTGGCAGTCATAGTAATGACTCTATAATTAGTAAATATTGTCATTAAGTGTAAATAATTTCTAAAATGATTATTTTTATTAAAACAACCTCCATGAAACCTTAATGACGAATGAAAAAAGGTGTGATTCCAAACTTACAAAGCAGCAAAAACATTAAATGGTACCCATTATGTTGGCATAAGGCTGGAGGGTACTGCTTGAAACCTAAGTAAAAGAAATCGGCTGAATTAAATTCATCAAGTACTTACTACATGCCTCCTATGAATCTCTTATGTAGACTAATGAAATACACTTTGCTCTTTCTAAAATACTATGTTATACAATGTTGTTTTATTCATTTACTATTCATCTGGTTATGAAAAGAAATTAGGGTGAGTACTAATACAACTCTGAAAAAGTATCTGCCCAAGATAGCACACCACCCACTGTTAGTACAGCTGCTCCACCCCTCTCCCCAGTTACACAATGAGCCGGTTTATTCTCCTTTCAGTCACTCACCTTCCCCTCCTGAGCTGCTGCCACAGCTTCTCCTGAGGGGTGAATGAGTCATCACGGTGCTTTTTCACAAGGGGAATATAAGCAGGAACGACAGCCTGGGCACAGCTCTGCACAAACTGAAACACCTCCTCCTTGGATGGAGAGTCAAGGTCATCAAAAAAGATACCCCCGATGCCCCTGCGCTCCCCACGATGGGCTATATAAAAGTAATCGTCACACCTGGAAAACAGAGCAAGGCCAAATCAGGGATCAGAGGGAAACAACAAAGGCATGAACGTCAATGTGAGTGTTTCCACTTGGAGTGCCATCCTTGACTAAGGCCAGCAGTGTCCTCACTCTTTGTCCAACTATGAAAATGAAAAAAGGGCTTTAGATGGATCTCCTGCAATTAGCACCGGTGTAGAATATACTTATACTTTTATCTGCAAAGCAAGTAGGCAATTTGATACATGTCTATCTAAAGAATATGGATATTAAGACCTTTAGTGAAAGAGAAACAAACAGCCCAGTTTTAATACTGTATATCTTGAAACAAGTGGCGTCGCTGCCCTCAGAAGCAACTTATACTTAGATTCCATTACATACCTACCAAACATCCTGGGTCTCCTCTCAACTCTTGTTTGTTTTTTCTTTAGAGTTTCTTTCACAAAGTGTCCAATTCCACCTTTCTCCTTGCCACACATCTCTGGTACATTTCCATCTGTCCCTAATAGTTCTCCAGCCCTTCCTATGCCCTCATATATCGCCATGGCAATAGAGAGACAATTCTCACCTGGGAAGAAAATTTAATTTCCCACCAGAGGATTAAAAAGCCTTGGATTTGCAAACATAGATCACCTTAAAGTTTACATTCGAAATCATTTGGAATCAAAGAATATACTGCTACCCAGTTTTTATTGCAGACATTCAAATATTCCTAAGTCAATAACTTATGAAAACCACTTAAAACTGGTATCCCAATTCTAGGGGGCAATGAAATAGTTCAACCTTCATCAGCTAAAAAATGGTATTTAGTGAGGAACAAATATACTTTAAGTATCATGACCTACCATTTTTTAAATTTAGGGTAGAGATCTGGGCCGTGCCGGTCACAAGCCTCCTTTAGAGTTCTGTGAAAATGGACGGCATCCTCTTGGTTCAAGTACGAGGGAGTAAGGTCAGTTCCCCCACCAAACCACCAATGCTTGTTACCTACCAAATCAAGACATGTAAATGTGACTTGGACTCTGGACTTTGAGATGCATCACATTACTCACTGTATTAGCAAACTTAATTTATCAGCTAACTTTATTAAGCATGAAAAGGGTGATAATCAAAAACACTGAACTGGACCCTGGCTGGGTTGTGTCATCTTGATATGCCAAGATTGTGGGTTCGATCCCCAGTCAATGTCCACCTCCCACCTTTCTCTCTCTCTCTCTCTCTTCCACCTCCCACCTTTCTCTCTCTCTCTCTCTCAAAAAATAAAGAAAGAAATAAATAAAACCAACTGAAATTAGCTCTAAATGGCCTGTAAGGCCTGGACAGGAAAGAAGAAACTAAAAAGTGAGAGTAGAACTAGGCAGGGAAATGATACACAGGGCAGGGAATGATCAAACACCACAGGTGGACCAGGCAGTAGATTTTAACTCTGGCTACCTATTAAAATCACATGAGAAACTTAAAATGCCTCTGTTGGTCACAATTTAAAAAAAAAATAAAATAAAAGCAAAATGGACGGCATCCTCTTGGTTCTATAGCTTATTTAAAAACAGGCATCTATAGCTTATTTAAAAACAAAACAAAACACACAAAAAAACAGGAGATTCTTATGCTGCCTATATTAAATACCATCTCCCCTTCCCCCCAGAAAGGGGAAAAATACTTGCTGAGGGAGACAACTCAAATAGTTTGAGAATAACTATTTCATGTGCTTAGTTAGGTCTATAGATTGTCAGTACCAGTTGCCAATTTTTTAAACATAAGCAACTTCAAAATGAAAAGTTAAATACATTGACTTTAAATGCCATCACCTACAGAGACATGAAGAGGAGTAGCGTGGCACTGCACAGGCGCTCTGACAGGTGTAAGAGCTGGCTCAGCTAACGGGATTCCTAGGCTGGAATTACACATGCATAATGAGGCAGGATCAAGTGCATCCCATCCTACAGTGCACTGGTGACTAGCAAAGTTATGCATGTGGAAGATATTTTCCAAAAGCAAGTTCTCAATTTCAACTTAATCTTGCACACGAGGTTTTCCTTTGGGTGGGTTTATATTTGCAAAGAACCCTGTGTGCACTTTAAGCTCAGGTTCATTCAATTGTTCCTTCTGTGTAGGAGGAAATATGGAGCAACCAGAGTTGAGCCAATCCCGTTTTCATGTCCAGTGCATAATCCATTGCACCTGCTAAGGAATAAGCCATCATATGGCTCCTGAAAAACCTAGTTAAAATTGTATTTATTCTCTCTCGCTGTTAGATGTTATGTCCTCTACCTTTAAATACACATTTGGCACAGTAGTACTTTCCACAGCTCCAGACATACATACCATCGGCTTCTTCTACTTCAAAGTATCTGTAGTTGAAATGGATGGTAGGAGCATGAGGATTCTTGGGGTGGATAACGGAGCTCACACCCATAGCAGAAAATGACAATTTACCTGGAAAGTAAAACACACAGTGAGCTGCTCTCAATCACTTGGCTTGATACAAAGTACCCCCAACATGGTTTTGGGATCAGTTTTCAAAAGCTGCTTTTTAATTTGTTTCTTAAAATATAATAAAAAAAAAAAAGTAATCGTGAACATGCTTATGGGACATATGCACCCAAATGGCTTTTTACAGAAGCAATATTTATTTTACAAATAAAACCTGTGGGCAAGAACAGCTTGCAGCAACTACTAAAGGCAACTGAGACTGGCTTACCATCTTTAGTCTTCAGATTTTTTCCTCTATTTCTCATTTGCTTTGCTGCTTCCTCAGAAAGATGTCCATGAACGACAGAAATGCTCACCCCTGCCTTCTCAAAAACATGCCCATCTTGAAGTACACAGCTGATGCCCCCACCTCCTGTTTATAGAAATGTAAAATGAGCAAAGAATGAAAAACAGAAAATAAAATGCAAAATTGAAAAAAAACAACACACCCTTGCAAGAGGTGATGGGACTGGGACTTATTCTCCTCCTCTATTTTCAATATCTGTATATTTATCATTTTCAGGTGCAATAAAATTAGATAATTAGCTTAGCTTTATGACATTTGCTACTGATAGTAGGCACATATCATTTCTTCAAATCACATAATTGAATACTTCTTCTACATTTTTATGCCGTCATCTAAAGTAAAACACTGCGCACTGGCCGGTTGCTTGGTGGTTAGAGCATTGGGCTACGGACTGAAGGGTCTCCGGTTGGATTCCGGTCAAGGGCATTTAGTTCGGTTGCAGGCTCCATCCCTGACCTGCAGGCTCCATCCCTGACGGAGGAGCACACGAGGGAGGCAACCAATCGATGTGTCTCTCTCACATCCATGTTTCTCTCTCTCTGTCTCTCCCCCTCACTTCCACTCTCTAAAAATCAATGGGAAAAATATCCTTGGGTGAAGATTAACAACAAAAAAATAAATAAAATGAAATAAAATAAATCACCAGAACATTTTCCTTTCAAATACTACTGCTTTGGTTATGATATATGAGAGAAAACTAAGGTTAAAAACAGGAATGGATATATTTGAAAACTTTTATTATTACTGAATTTAAGAGCTCCATATTGTTTCAATTGTTTTTTTCTTAGTGTTTGTCTTTTCGTTTTGTTTACAGGAAACTAAAAAACAGTATTCGATCACTTGGGGATTTGGAACTCTAAATTGAGTGAGACCCAGTACATTTATGTATATGAGCTTTACTATTAGTAGCCGGTCTGTTTGTTTTTTAAAACACTAGAGTTACTACAAGAGTAGCTGTCATAAAGATTCATGTTTAGCTTGTTTTACTTCTAAGACTTCTTTGAGCTGGATAGGACATTAGATGATCCAGTACAACTGTATATTACAAATAAGAAAACTGAGGCACAGAAATGTAAAACACCTTCTCCAAGAACACATTTGTTTCCTGCTTTTTTAAGCACTTACATATATTTACCTCATTTAATCCTTACAATACCCTCATATATTATTTCATAGGTGAGGAAACAGAGGAAAAAAAAAGTTAAGTACCTTCAGAAGGTCACACAGCTAGTCTAGTACTTGAGGTTTTGTATCCTGGTTCAATGGCCTTCGCTTGAAAACATTACAAGATGGAAAACACTATGAAAACCAGGTTTAACTTCACTTAATATAAATGTGGCAGGATCACAGCCCCAAACCAGCTGATAAGAAGTTGCTGTAGAAAAGCCAGAAATCCTTCAAGTTTATGATCAAGGTATGTGTGGGGGGGTGGGTTCAAGCCTGGTGCATTTTGTGGAACTACTGACAAACCAATCAAATAGTTCTTGTGCAACTTGTGTGAGTGACATCACACAATGACACCCTTAGCTGGAGGAGTCTGGCTGGCACGTAGCAAAGAGGAGCCAAGTTTCTCGTTCCATTTCCAAAGGGGGGGAAGGTATAAATACACCAAGAAAAAGAGATGAAATATGGGGAAATCTATGCGCAATGACAAATTTGGACATCCACGCTTGTTGGCTAAAATAACCCTAAGACCTCTACGAAAAAACGCCATTAAAAAATTGCAAAGATTTTGAAATGCCCAGGGCTAGCGTGACAGCACATCTGGTTCCACACCTGCAAGAAGAGGGCTGAAGACCCTTTCGGTGCCAATCTCTGTAACGGTTCCCTTTTTACCTGGCAGGTCCCCCTTTCCTACTCTCACACCCTCTTCCGAGTCATTTTACGGCAGCAAACTAAAGCCCGACCCCTTCAGCCCAGCTTCACCTCCCGTTCGGCGCCGACCTCCTCACCTTCCTTCCTCTCCCACCGGTCCACGGAGAAGCCGGCGCCCCCATCCACCTGGGCCAGGGCCTGGCACACCTGCGCCTGGGTCTCCATGATCAGCAGCTCCATCTTGGTCTTCATGTCGCCCGGCCTCCTTCGCAGCTCGCGCAGGTCGGTCACGGGCGAGGCCATGAAGCCCCTGCAGCGGCGGGCCAGCTCGTCCTCCTCCTCCCCCGGGCTCCCCGGGCGAGGGGCTCCGCGCCCCCGAGCTCTTGGG